ACTCACTAAAAGAGTCCTGTTAATACTGGGACTATGGTTATCCTGATGGCTGATACTGAGGGGAGTGCAGAAACACAGGTGAGAGAGCATTCAGATGCTGGTCCCAGCCAAGATCTGAAGTCCATAAACTGCAGGACATTGCAAAAAACACAGATTTGGCAGTTGAAAATGTTGTGTTCTAATTCAGCCACTCACTAGACACATGACTTTGGAAAGTGGCTTATGTCTCTGATCCCCCATTTCCTCTCTGAGGTGGCAATGATACCTCACTTGCAGGACCAAGGTGGTCTTAAATGAGATAACGAACCTGAGAAAGCACCATAAACAAGGTTGGTGGTGGTGTTCAGGGATGGCCTTCGTCAGTGTCCCAGGCCCGCTTCTCTACCTCCTGATTTTCCTTTCTCCGGGGTGTTTTCATGGTCTTGTGCACCTCTTAAGCTACATATCCATCCTCCAGAGGCTGAGCCTCACACTCAGAAATCCTTGTCTCATGCCTCTTCCTAATTTGCTGTAACAGAGAAGTGTCTCAGCAGTCAGGAAATTATTAAAATATTCTTACACTTAAATGAAAATAAATGATATTGTCTTTTTTAACACAATAAATTATTTGTGGTGACATTACCACCAAAATAACGATAGTCATTTTGTTTCATAGGGTTTTTTCCAGTAGATTTACTGTTGTCGCTATTGTTGTGTTGTCTACTATTTGTTCACACGCCACATATGTGTGAGGGTGGCCAGGAGAATAGAAGATAGATTCCCACCCAATGGGAAAGGCAACAGGAATGATTTTTGTAGAAGAGTGGGGTTGAATCATCAATCCTGGACTGAACAGAGAAACCAGAACATGCAGTGGTTTGCAATCAGGAAAAAAGAAATCTTTCTTAGGATAAGGAGTGTGATAGAATAAAATACAAATAATTTCATTTGCATGTATAATTTTAAATATTTATCAACGTCCCTATTTCTTTAAATAGTAATTTAAGTGCTACAAATTCTTCTTGGCTAGTAGATACACTCAGAAAATAGAATGAAAAAGCTTTGAAAGAAGACATGTGTTCTCAAAGATGAAAAGTGACATTAAGGCAGGAGGTCCCTCCATGTGCTATGGTTCAACAGAGAGGCAAGGAAAAAGTACTGGCATTTGAAAGCTGCAGGGGTTTCAGTCCTGGAAAACCAGACACTGGGCCACACAGGCAATGACATTTAACACTCAGATCTCAACAGGTGGACAGGCTGAAACTATGACAAACTATTTCAACTTTTGTGCTTAGCCCAGGAACTGGTGCAGCAAGCCATTCAAAAAACTAGCTGTACAGAGATGAGAGAGAAAAAAGGCAGGGTAAAAGAAGATCCAAAAGATAGCAAATGCCATCTCCGGATGACCTGAGATCCGACTGGAAAAACTATGGATCCTTTGAAATGAAATGGTTCTTTGGAGAAAAATTACCTAAGAGTCAAAGAGGCAAAAAAAATCCTGCTCAGTACTGTTCCTTACACCAAATGGAAGCCTTTCCTATTGATTAGGAATTCAACGAAGGAAAGTGACTTAAACTAAAATTCTGGACCAGAATAAATGTGGTTTAGCTTCCCAAGTAGAACTCAGGTCATGATGAAAAATTTGAGTCTGGCCCTATTCATAGTTAGCATACGATCTTTGTGTCTCTCTCTCCATCCCAGCCCAAATTCCACAGAGTAGAGTCTCATCTTATTTGGGACCCCAACTGTGTCTCCATCTTGTAACTTTATTGAGGTAATGGGGGGGAAATCCTTTCCTCCTTGTTGGTTTGTTTCTTGATATATATTCTTTGTTTCTGTTTTTCCCCTATGAATGTTATGTTAGTGCTTGTATTTCTGTTCTTAAGCAGATGTGATAATATACATATAAATGTATACATGTATCAAATCATCATGTTGTACACTTAAACTTACACAATGTTGTATGTCACAGATATCTCAATAAAGCTGGGATAAATAAATAAATACAGTGTATCCTGCTGTTTGTCAATTACCACATAAGCATTTTTCCATGTTTATTTTCCATATTTATTTGTAAGTACTATTATAAACATAGCATTCTATTCCATCAAGTGTTTATACCAAAATTTACATAAACATTCCCAATTGTCAAGCATATGAGCTGTCTCTAATTCACCACTAATGTAAATATTACTGTGATAAACAAAGTACAGGAATTTTCAAATTTTTTATTAGTTTTGTAATATGTATTTCCAGAAATAGAATGAAATAAAAATACGTAAATAGTTTTACGGTTGTTAGAGCTTATTGCCAGTTACCCACAAAAAAAGATTGTATTAACTTAGACGGCATTTCGTGAGTGTGCCTAATTCACTACGTCCTCTAGGTCTCATTGTTCTTTTTCTTGTTAACTTACAAACGTTGGAGTAATTTTATTGTAAATCCCATTAGGAGATAAGTCAAGCAATTCTACACAATGGAATATTCTTTCTTCTCCAACTTAGTGGAAGCTACCTCCTTTTTTCAAAAGGCAAATTGGATTCCTACTATTCAGTGAAGGTTCCTAGACCAGACTTGCCACTTCTGAGAGTCCTTGCCCATCTCTGAAGTGCTTTGGAGTATACTCTCTGCTTCCCTCAGTTGGCACGTTTGGGCTATTATTTTCAAGCAAATATGTTATGGCACCCGATAAGACCTTTAGCTTCTTAAGAAGAAACTCACATATTCCTTTTATTTTGCACAACTCTTAATGCAGCACCTTGATGCACAAAGTAAGTGCACAGTAAACCTTGTTAGTGGATGGGAAAGAAATTGAGCTAATGCCAGTGAGAAACCCTATTGAAGGCCTTTCTTCCCAGAATCTCAGATAGCACCACTTCAGTTGTTTTGACAAAAGCCTTATCGATGCCACTCTGTCCCTGAATCTTTCTGGGTCCTGTGATGGGATGAATTGATCACTCCTCTCTTCTCAGTTCCTCCCTTACCTGTACTAGAAAAGTGATGTAAGAATCAGAGGGCATCTTTTGGGGATGGTTCCTTTTGTCAGAACAGTTCATATAGAGCCTTTCTCAACCAATGTGCAAGGCTTTTGTAATGAAGACTGACCGAGGACTCAGGAATGAAATGAATGCTTTTTTAAGAATAATTAGCTAAGGTTATTATCATGAAAAGAGAAGGGTGAGGGGCTGGTCCCATAGCTTAGCAGTTCAGTGCGTGCGCTCCGCTACTGGCGGCCCGGGTTCGGATCCCAGGCGCGCACCGGTGCACCGCTTCTCTGGCCATGCTGAGGCAGCGTCCCACATATAGCAGCTAGAAGAATGTGCAACTATGACATACAACTATCTACTGGGGCTTTGGGGAAAAAAAAGGAGGAGGATTGGCAATAGATGTTAGCTCAGAGCTGGTCTCCCTCAACAAAAAGAGGAGGATTAGCATGGATGTTAGCTCAGGGCTGATCTTCCTCACAAAATAAATAAATAAATAAATAAATAAATAAATAAATAAATAAATAAATAAATAAATAAAAAAAGAAGGGTGAAAGTCATGTTAATGTCAGGTTAGACCCTATGATGTTAGAAAGAAAATTAAATTAATGTTTGTTGTGGTGAGATGTATTTAGATAATTCAAGAGAAATGGTCTGCAGTCAATGTTAATTAGACAAATAAGCTGAAATTTAAAAATGCACCCTTTGCCCACCTTTCCTTCCACTACACTGCCCTATCACCAACCAAAGGGCACCACACAGCATGACCATCCTCTAGGGAGCCAAATATGAATGGGCAGAGGAAGGTCCATTGATGTTTGGCTGAAGTCTGAGTCAGCAAAAGCTTGCAGGCTATAACTGAAAGGCTGAAACTTTGTGAGCGTGTGAGGGGGCTGGAATGCCCTGAGGGAGGCAGGGGAAGAAGAGTTACCAGATGGGCAGAGCTTCAAGAAGTACCTGAGAAAGGGCTGAGTTGGAGAGGTTTAGGGAAATGAAGGGCATTTTTCTACACTATCCTCTGAAGGCCTAAATGAGTGAGAGTCCCCTCTCCTACAACCCATGTAATACAAGGGGAAGAGATAGCTAGATAAAGTTGCAAATCCTAGTTGCTGACTCTATCGTATTTGGGGATGATGACTTGAACAATTCAGTCACAGAGCTGTTCAAGTCTCCACTGGAGTTGAGTGTGTGTTCAGTCCCAAGATGATGGGTGAGAAACAGTACTCTAAATAGGGCCAACACATGCTTCTCATGGCTTGGCCATCCTCATTTAACTGAAGTGGAAAGGATTATAGGTAGCAGGCAATTAATTCCCCAAATCTGAGAAAATCTGAAAACAGCTTCATTGATCTTTTCCCCAACCTTACTCAAGGATTACAAAGAAAAAAACTCTGTGTACTATTGAAAGCACAGACTGTCATTTGTAGATTATAATATTGCTTCTTATTTTTTCATAATTAATTTTAACCATTTTCATTGTTAAGAAACTCAGAGAGTACAAGATATGCAGAACAAATTGTGAAAACATTTCTCATCACCTATACTCTACCACTCACCACCTAAGAGTCCACACTGAAAATTTGGTATGCATAATTTCAGTATTGGCCACATATATGCCATTTATAAATATAAATATTAATGAATTTATTAGATCATATTGTAAACATAGTTTATGATTATATATATATTTTTTTTTGTGAGGAAGATCAGCCCTGAGCTAACATCCATGCTAATCCTCCTCTTTTTGCTGAGGAAGACCGGCTCTGAGCTAACATCTATTGCCAATCCTCCTCCTTTTTTCCCCAAAGCCCCAGTAGATAGTTGTATGTCATAGTTGCACATCCTTCTAGCTGCTGTATGTGGGACGCGGCCTCAGCATGGCCAGAGAAGCGGGGCACTGGTGCGCGCCCAGGGTCCGAACCGGGGCCGCCAGTAGCCGAGCGCGTGCACTTAACTGCTAAGCCACGGGGCCGACCCTATGATTATATTTTTAAAAATATGTCTCACATAAAATTTACGTCATTGAAATAGTTCTACCTAGTCCTTTATAAGGACTAGATAGCATCCCTTAGTAGAAGTAGTAGAAATTTGTTCATTGGATTATGTTCATTGAGTTACAGTTCTCTTCTACTTTTGGATACATGGATGATTTCACTTTGCTATTCCATTGAACTTAAACATGGCAGTGTGACAAGTTATGATCAAAGAATTTTAAGTAGAAACGACATGTGTCACTTGTGGGCTGAAGTATTTAATTGCTAGTGCCTGACTGTTCTGCGTTCTCTTCTTTTGGTATTCATTCATGAAAGCTTGTATTATTGATATGGGGGAGCCACAGGATCAAAGCAGCCTGGACAGCAGAGCAAAGACTTTAGAGAGAACTTACCAAGAGAGTCATCTGGATCTGCAGGTGATTTTGTGTGCGTGTGTGTGTGTGTGTGTGTATGTGTGCGTGCATGTGTGGCACCATAATAGAAACATTGGTTTGACAGGAGGCGAATAGTGAAGAAACTGAAATTAGAGGCTGGAAAGATGGCAAACCATGATGTGCAGGGACAAAACAGAAGTAAAATTTTGACCTGGAAGAAGATATTCCTAATGAACCTACAGCTCTAGGGGAAATTAAACTGAAATAATATGATGTTTAGTCAGAGTAGACAATGTTTCACACTTCTATAATGATTATAAATAATGAACAAAATATTGGTATTACTTATCATATACTTATTTTATAATAACACAAAGATCTCTGAGGTTGCATTACAGAACTTTGGTAGATGGTTTTGTTGAGTTGCCCCAACTAATCATGACTCCAGTATTCAAACCCCTGTGCAGTTGCCTCCCACATTGACTCTGGACTTGCCCATGTGACTTTCTTTGGCTAACAAGCAAGCAGCGTCCTGATAAGTGCTTGCACATTAGGGCTTGTCCTTTTGGAATGCTCCCTCTTAGAGTCCAGTTGACATACTGGTAAGAAGTCTAGGCTAGACTACTGAATGATTGAAGGTCACGTGGAAAGCGGCCCTAGAGAATGAGAGCTCATACTGGATGGTCCAGCCCCAGCTAAGCCAGATGCATATGTGACCCCCGTGAGGAAAACCACACAGCTGAGTCCAGTGGACCCACAGAAATGTGAAAAATAATATATCATTGTTTTAAGCCCTAAGTTTTGGGGTGGTTTCCAATAGATAACTGAAATAACTGAATGCATCCATTAACGTTTCTTCTATAGCACAGATTAAATTCCATACACAGATTAAATATTCACGTGAATTTTATTTTTAGTTAAAAAACTAATTGTCAAATATATTCAATGTGACTAAAATTCATATCAGTAAAAAACATATATGGTGATTTTAATATAAAGAAATTTTTCCTCTCAAAATTTTTTAAGAATAAAGTCAAGCATAAATAAATAAAATAAAATCACTTATATTAATTCTCAAATGAAGGGAAATAGTGCTTTGTTAGATCATTTGTCCCTATAGTAATCCAGAAAAAAAATTCACTATATTCTACAGTCATAGACAACAATTAATTAACTCTCTAAATCCTTTTTTCACATTTATCTTGGATTTCATTACAAAATTTTTCTAATACTGAGCTACAGCATAAATATTTTAATCTATAGCACTAATTGGTTTTGTGTGTCCAGTATTGTTGTAAATGCAGAAATGACAATTCTGTGGCATGTAAATTGCAGGCACACAAAAAATATATACATATTTTGATCCCAAATATGTGGACCCAATTTTTTGGGAGAGGAAGATAGATATCTCTCATTGCTTGATTCTGAGTTACAGCTCTGCTCTTCTGCGGGAGATGCTACCTACATATGTCACCTTCTCAGTGAAAGAGCTGCTTTGTTCAAAATTTCTCCCTCTTTGCAATTCTTTAAAACAATGAGTCCTTACAGCAAAAAAAGATCATGCTCATGAATAATCCAATTAATTAAGAAATAAAGTATTTTCCTCTCTTTTCTGCTTGGTTTAACCAGGACTTAATGATTACATCTAGAGACAAGTCTATTAGAGCAAGAAGACTCTGAGGAACTAAGATAGGGTAAGAGGCTCTGATCACTTCTACAGGCATGGGACAATGAGGCCAAGTTTTATTTGTATGTTTGGCAAGGCAAACAATGAACCTTCTACTGACATGTCTTGCACTATAGCCATGGTGAGTTGCACAATACTCCTCAAGAATACATATTTCAATCACTTGCTGAATTATCCAGAGTTTAGTCCTTCCCTCGGACGTATTCCAGTTTGCAAACACCTACAGAAATTGAGTGTTTGATCATTAGGCTAAAGCCTGTTGTGCATGCTCCTTTTCCTCTGTAGGGATACTAATCCAATAAGCCAGTTGATTAATGCTTTGCTATTAGTCCTCAATCTGGTGTCTGTGCTTATTTCTTCCATGAAGGAGCTAAAATGTGTGTAATTAAATTCAGTGGACATCTTCCAGTCCTCTTCATATTGGGCCAGTCAGCAGCATCCAATACTACTGACCATGACTTCTGTTTGGAAACCTTTTTTCTTAGTTTATCTGACAACATACTTTCCTTTTTATTCTTTAACTTTTCCCCTTTGGTACCTCTGCCTTAGCCAATTAATTTTTTTCTGAATTTTAAAAGATGGGGACCCTCAAACTCAGTCCTAGGCCATATTCTTGGTTCGTGCTCTCTAGGCAATGGCATGCCCAGTTCATTATGCTCTAATCGCTCTGTAATAACAAGTCCCAACTTTTTGTCACTAGTCCAGATTCTCTGGATGACTATATCCAACTGCATATAAATAATATTTATTTGTACATCCCAAGGGCATCTCAAAATCAGTGTTTTTAAGTCTGAACACAGTGTCTTCCTCCTACAATGCTATCCTCATCTAATGATTCCTATCTTAGAATTCTGAAGGACGATCTTATGTTCAAATTCTCCCCTTATGCCTAGTTCCAATCCCTAAGCCCTGCTTTTTTTACTTGGAAAATATCTCTTCAGTGTAGCCACTTTTACCCATCTTGGCAGCCACTGCCTTATCCCAACCCACTTCTCTTTCTCTCGTATTACAATTTCCTCCTAATTGTTCACCCTGTATGCAGTCTTGCCCTCCCCAATCTATTCTCCAGAAAGCAGCCAAAATGCTCTTTATATGATACAAACATAATTATGTCACTTCCCCAATGAAACCCTTGTGTAGTTTCCCATGGCTTTTAGGATAAGAATCCAAAAATCTACACCATGTCAGAATGGGGTGGTGGTCAAGCATGGGGGCTTTGTACCCAGAAAAAGCCTTTGGTCAAAACTCAGCTCCATTACTCACTACTGTGCTTCTGAAGCTAATTACTAAGGCTCAATTTCCTAATCTAATCTTTCCACATCTTGGGTTTTTATGAGGACTAATTAAGATAATGTGTGAGGAGCACTTAGCAAAGTGTCTGGCACATAGTGAATGCTCTGTAAATGTTAACTGTAGTTATTTTTAGCCATGACAAATGCCCTCCTGACCCCAGCCTACCTCTCAACCCTCAAATTATACCATTTTCACCTTGCTCTCAATGCACTGGCCATGTTACTCCTCAGTCAGTTCTTCCAATAAACTATAACCCTTTTTAACTTTAGAACCTTCATATATGATTCTCCCTCTGCCTAGAAATCCACTTCCTTATCCAGCTAACATCTCCTCAGACTTAAGATTTAGCCTCCATTTTTCTTTCTTTGCACAAAGGCTTCCTGAGACCGATAGAAATCATTGATCCCCTTTCCAGGCTTGTGTGCGCATCCTGCAGCTGCTGTGAGTCATGACTGCTAAAAGCTTATCCCCCTTCTCCAGAGAATTGGCCCAGACTAGTGGTTTTCAAATATTATTATGAATCAGAATCACCTGGGGAGTTTGTTGACCCTCAGATTTCTGGGCCCCATTTCCACAGTTTCTGATTCAGTAGGTCTGTGGAGATCCCTGAGAACTGACGGTTTTAACAAATTCCCAGGTGATGTCGATGCTGCTAATCCATGATCATGCTTTGAGAACCACACTCCTAGACCAAGCTAAATCTTCCTTGCCTGAGGGTTACAGCAAACCATGCCCATCTCTCCTCCACAGAGAGGACTATGACTGACTGACAGAGGGGCAAAAGGATGGCTCCCTTACCACAAGGTGAGACCAACTCTGTGGTATAACTTATGCTCCAGAGTCCCCGTGGGATCAGCTTGAGGCCACAGCCTCGCTGAGCTGCTGCTTCTACCCCATCCTGCTTCCCTACTTCCCTTTTCCTAGAGCACGCCTTCAATAAACCGTGTGCACACGAATTCCTGTCTCAGCCTCTGCTTCAGGGGAACCCAAACAAAGACACACATATGTATAAATACAATGTGGAAATGCAGGAAAGTACAGAGAGCAAAGTTATCAACTTCGCCTAGATAGGAATACAGATTTCCTCAGAAGAGGATTTGCAGGAGCTTTCTGGGACAAGGAAAGCATATTTTCCCTTGAAGGCTTGAGCATAGAAAAAAATGCATCTCGTAAAAATCTTAAAAGTTTATCAGCATCATTCTTAACAGGCCTCAGAAGCCTCGTTGAACCTGAGGCCTGTGAGTACCCGGAATTGCCCTATCTCTGAGGTGCTAGGTTGTCATTTCATATAATGAGACAATCTGTACTTTCCAGGACCTTATGCAGTGAGACTCTATAAATTCTGCATCAGGCAGAGTGTGGAAGCGTCTCTTAATGGCCCCAACAACTACCATTTCACTGTCTGGGATCTGCCAATATGAGATAATGTTGATAAACTGCACAGCTTTCTGCCAGCAATAAAACTACAGAGCAAACAGAGTTTAAAGGCTGCAACTAACTTTTTGTTACAAGCGAGACCAGAGGAGAGGGAACCGGATGAATGAGGAGACCTCAGTGGCCTGTTTCTAGAAATGGGCTATGGGGCCCCACATGGCCAGTGCTCTTGAATCAGTGTCATCTTTGTAAATCAGAATTAATGGGCTCAGCTCTCTTCCTCGAGCAGGTGGCAATGCCCTCTTTTGCAGGCTGGCGTGCCTGGAGTAGGGGCTGGAGCCATCTGGACTGCTGTCAGGATATCATGTTGATGCTGAGTTTGGACCACAGGGCAATTAGGAGGGCTTTCCACAGCAGCTTTGTGTATGCTGGAGCCCTCCTCATCAGTCCGTTCCTCATGACTGACATGACAATATCCACTTGGCTACAACAATAATGAAGGGATGTGGTTGACCAGGCCCTCTGGTATGTTGGTAAAAATAACAAGAAGCTCTCTGCATAGGTAACTGCCCTAATCAGAAGTAAAAAGAAAAACACCTGATGCCAAGTCTAGTTGAATGTATTTCCAGATTTATACATTTGTAACAATAGGGGGCGTTAGGTCTCTATGTTGTCTATGGTTTTTATTTTGCTTGCTAAAACCATGATCTCTCTCCTGGTTTCATCAGGCAGTTCTATAAGCAAAATTTGCACGTGGGTGCTGTTACCATTACCTTTTATAGTCCTTGAGTAAGTTAAATAAAGACAACTCTGGCTGACAAAATCGCAAGAGAGTTCATGGATATTAAAGTTCCCACACCACGTGAGAGCAAGAGCATGCGGAATCACAGTTTATCTTTCAATAGAGATCCTGAACATGGCTCTAACAAGGAAAGAAAATGCCCTTTCCCTTCCTCTGAAGCATTTCACAATTCCTTCCCAATTTCATCTCTTTCTGAAAATAAGAAAATCTTTCATATTCTGCATGACAGTGGGAGGAGGGAATTTTTTTTCTGGAAGCTGATGTAACCTAAATTTTCACTATGGTCTTTCTTCTCAGAGATTTTTGTCCAGAGGGGTTTTCTGCTACTTATCTTCCAAAAACCACATCTGTAGCATCAAATACTCCAAATTGTATTAATCTTACATATATACTGGGCAAGAGAAAAATAATTCCAGACAATGGAAACATGTTATCACTGGATAAGAAATGTAGAGTGGAATAGAGTTACAGTTCTAAGTCCTGGAGACGTTTTGACTGATACTTGAAGAGTGAATTCAGAAAATCCTCAGAAAATGTGCAAGAAGGCATGAGGCCCATCTTGAAGAAAGTTCTATATGTATTAGTCATCACTTATTTTAACATCATTTATTTTAGCAGTTCATATGGAATATGGCCTTAGGAAAAAATACGTAATATGCAAAACACGGTTGCCCATCTCTTCTCACACTACTATGTAAATGACTGGTAATTTTTTAAAGAATGAAAATTTTAACACTGTGGAATCAAACTCTAATAATGGCCCCATCAAGGGAGAAAGCATTAGTTTGCTGGGTTCTCATTTTAAAAAAATTCAAGTCTTTTGTAAAAGATCGTTTTGCCCCAAGACTACTTAGTGACCAAGAGGAAAAATTGAAGCTTCTCTTCTTAAACGTAGTTGTTTTTCCTTTCCCATCTCCCTCTTCAAAATCAAATGCCAATCTTTTTTTCCTAGTTTTTAGCTGGAGGGACAGAGATCCCAGAGCTGGCATGACAAGTCTGAGTTGCTTTCTGGCACTCATAGGTAGATGATCAGAGTAGTTGAGTGCTCACCAGCTGGAATGCTGACGAGAAAGTGACCCACGAAGCTCTTCTTTTTGGAGTAACTTACTTAAAGCCTTATCTCCTCAAGCTGGGGACTCTGACCTTGTGGATGTTGCAAAGAATCAGCTGTCAGCAACAATTCTTGACCTGTCCCTCCCCACACATTTTCTCTACACTCTGGATCCTTGTAGTCAAGTGTTCTTTCTTATTATTACAGGTAATTTTCTCTCAGGGCACTCTCTCAGTGCCCTGGTTATGATTAAAATGTTTATCTCAGTCATTTTTCTATCATCATTTTAGGCAGTTTATAGAGGCTGACTTGTATTTTATATATACTATAAATGTTATATATTTGTTATGAGCCCAACAAATTACATTCTAATTTAAAATTTTTACACACGGCAATTCAGAATAATAAACAATCATTTCCTACCCTCTGAACAGGAAGTGGAGTCATTATAAAAACTCTTCTCTAAAAAGGAGGAGAGACTTCTGGAATGTCAAAGATTTTCTCTAAGTATCCTCCCTGAAA